CATGAAAGAAGAAATTCCTGGAATAAGAAAGTTAATCTCCCACGGGGCTGATCCCGAAAGGCGGCGCTTGGCATCCCCGCCTGCGCCAGGAGCGCAGCCAAGCTGCCGGCCCAGATGTTGGCAGCTGGACGGAGCGTCATGAGACGAGCGCTCGGCGTGACTTAACTTTCAGAAAGCTGCCGGTTCCTCCAACCTGGGGCCCGTTTACACTCTGTGCAGGGAAGACACCCCAGGAGCTGAGCCCCACCTGTGCTCAGAGCTGTGTCAGGCACAGCCCAAGCAGAGTTTTGTCCCCCAGCCCATCTGGGCTGTCCAGGGAAGCAGCCAGGGCTCCCTGCCCGAGGTTATCCTGGGGTTGGGCTTAAACGAGTCAGTATTGTAACTGGCAGCAGGGAAAACCTTCCCAAACCAGGCAGGGAGGAGTCACCATCAGAGGTGGCACCCAGGGGCTCACAGCACCAGGACAGGGGCTGCCAGGTGATGGCCAGCACTGGCCCTTCCCACAGGCTGGCAGTGGGGTCAGAGCCACAGCCTGCTGCCCACCACATCCTCCCAGGATCCGTGCTCTGGTCTCCCTTTGGCACCTCATGCCATGGCTCCTGCAGCTCAGGGCTCCTGGCCCAGCTCCTGGGGGCCTGGTTAAAGTCCACAGCAAAGCCCCAACCAAAGCCCCCTCCCTCGTGGGTGTTATTTGCTTTTTGCTTAATCTGTCCACTTTTTCCAGGAAATGGCTCATGCCCTTGAAATTTGAAACACGAACCCAAAGAGACCCAAAGGACCCTGCACAGAGCAGTGCCAGCGCCAGCTCTGATGGCACCAGCCACGGGGCTGTGGTGCAATGCTGGTGGCAGCGCCCGGCCGGGGGCGCGGGGGCTCAGGCAGGGATGTTCCTTCCTTCCTCTGCATTTCCATGGGGACACACAAGGAAGAGCTGGGCAGAAGATTTGGCACCGGTGGGGACCACTGTGCTGAATTCCTTGCACCTCCACACTCTTCTCTCCCGCCGTGGAAAGGCAGGACAGGGAGGCACCGGCACTGCCTGCTCTGCCCCCGCAGGGGAAGCCCTCACCGATCCCAGCACAGCCAAACCCCCCTCCTTCCCCCGCCAGACGCCTCCAGAGCATCAAATCTCCCAGCTTAAATAAAACCAGATGCCAATAACATTTTCATAAGGTCACATGAAAATCCGGTGCCTCCAGGCTGTGAGACGGCTCCTGCCAGCGCTCGGGACCCGCAGTCCCCAGCTCGCATGCTCCAGCATCCCTCCCTGCCACAGGGATCTCTGCTGTCCTTGGGGTGACTGTCCCTTGCTAAGTGACACACGGCAGCTCAGGGAACCTCTTGCCTGCCTGGGACCAGAAAAGTCCTCACACTCAGCAAAAAGACACGGGAAAAGCAACGTGTGTGGAACCCGGAGCTGCCACCCACTACCCTGCCCTGGTGCAGCCCAACCTGCCACCTCATGCATGGCCACCACCACCCTGGAGGGAGGGAGGGAGGGCAGGGGGGGCCCTGCTTGACCAAGTGTTTTAGCACTCAGATATGAGTCTGCTCAGTTTGGGATGGAAGTGGGTGCCAAGAGGATGGGAAAGGGTGCTACCCTCGCTGGCCACACAGACCTGCCACCCATCCCGGCAGGAGGAGGATTCCTGCCCGGCCTGTGGACGGGGGACACAAACGAGCCATTCAGCGTCGCCTTCAATTAACAGGAGCCACAAATGAGGTTGGTCACGTGCCGAACTTGTGATTCACAGCACTGAGCCCGAGGGAGTGGTGAAGGGCTCCGGCTCCACCGCGCGGATCCTGTGGGAGCAGAGCCCGGGGCAGCCAAAGAAATCCCGGGACTGTGTGTGTGTGTCCCTGGGGAGGTACAAGTGTCAGAGCTCCAGCCCCACTTCCCTTCTGTGCCACCAGTCCCCTGTGAAGGATCCCACGTGCCTCAAGGGACAGAAGGGGCACATCCACGTGTCTGTGGCCGACATGGCACATGAGCCATGGTGACCCCAGCACCCTCCACGTCCCTGTCCAGCACCCCCAGTGTCACCTGCGGGTGGTCCTGGCAGGGCCATGGCAGCGCTGGCTTTTGGCTCCCGGAGTGCTGGACTTGGCAGGCACTGGCACAGGGAGGGCTGTGCTTGTCTTGCCAAGCACTGGTCCTGGCAGAGTGCAGGGAGCCAGGTATGGAGGTGCCAGGGGCACCAGGCACCTACTGCCCCCTGGGCACCTCCTGCCTCAGTGTCCAATGTGGGCCTCGTGGAAGAGAGATTGGGATGCAGGAGAGGGAGTGAGGGATTCAAATGCAGATGATGATTCCCCACAGATGATTCCTTGCCAGGAGCAGCACTCAGCCTGGAGAAACCAGAGCACGGAGGAACCTCCACCCCAGGGAACAGGTGGGACATGGCAACAGCCTCACCTGCCTAACTCCAGCCCGCCCTCCCTGCCCGTGTGCTGTCCAGCCAGGGCTCAGCCACCGCTGTCCCTCCTGGTCACAGCACGCAGGAAGGAAACAGGATTTGTCCCAGCTTGCAGAGACCACACGGGATGAACACAGCTCCCATGGGGTCAGGTTTTCCCAGACAGAAGCATTTACCCAGCATTAAATCACTCGTCATGTGTGCTGGGGAATATGTCCTCACCTCCTCCTGGCTGCCACACACAGGCTCAGTCACCACCAGCCAGCGGCTGTGCCGGAAAGCCATGGCTGGGACCTCCTGGAGCTGGCCCTGGCACAGGGCTCTGGCTGAGGAGTGGGGTCCTGGAGCCAGACAGAAGCTGGCAAGGGCTGGGAGAGGGAGGCAGGGACAGGGCCCGACACGAGGTGCCCAGACCCACAACCACGGGAGAGGGTCAGGAGGGCAGCCACCCGCTCCCTCGCTTCCTGAGAGTCCCGTCCCCTGCGTGCTGCGGGTCCTGGGTGAGCAGAGAGGCTCTTTGCTGCCGCTGGAGCCGGGAGCCATGTCCAACCCTTCGGAAAGCCCAGCCTCAGCCCAGCCCCCCGATCCCAGCCTCTTCCCTGGAATGCGGAGCCCCCCGGACAGAGCCCCCAGACAAAGTGTTTACTGTATGAGCCGTGCATTAACCGCTTCCCGGCCGCCGGGAACGCTCCCCGGCACCCGCTCAGCCCCGGGGCCACAGCCACAGCCGGGGGCACCTGCTCCCTATGGCCCTGCCCCCAAGTAGGCATTTAATTCTCTTCTGCTGATCCATCAGAGGCCAGGGTGCCCTCGCTGTGCGGGAGTGATGGAGCCTGCAGCCCCCAGCCCCACACTCCCACTGGTTCTGGGCTGCTGGAGTGGGTCAGAGACCCACAGCTGGATGTCCCACCAGACCGAGCAATGTGCTGTGGGTGTCCTGCCCACATCCCACCAGGCTGTCCTGGACACGGGGGTTCCCAGTGCCCTCTTGCCCATCCTGCCACCTGTGACACCACCGGCCATCACGGTGCCCGGTGGGTGACCCGGCTCCCACGGCCACCCACCCATCCCCAGCCAGGCCAAAACACCGCGGGAAGGAAGGGAAAAAATGCAAGTCTGTTTCCTAAAGGCTCTGGGAAAAAATGTTGCATTACACGGGGCACAGCCAAAACCAACAGGGCTTGGCAGCGTGGTGCAGCCCCGGGCCAGGGAGCCCAGACAGCTCCTGCAGGATGTGGGATGAGGACAGACAGGCAGGGCAGGGGGGCTCTGCAATGGACCCCATGCCAAGCACTCTGGGAGAGCTCCTGTCCCTGCAGGGGGGCAGTTGGAGGGGCCCATCCACAAAGGGCACTTCTCACGCTGGGGATACTGGCAGAGCTGCCATGGACCAGCCATGCAAGGAGGGAATGGAGCTGGGATCCAGCCCTCACGGTGGCTAGGGACAGACACTGCTCTAATCCCTTCTGCCCCACAGGGAGCTCCAGGTCACTCTGTGTGGGGACCTAGGGCCAGGAGAACTCATGGATCACCCCGTAGTGGGATGCTGCTCCCCAGCTTCAGGAGACATGGTCCTGGTCACAGCCTACAGGATATGAAAGGGGGAGCATGGCATCCAGACCCACGGATGGACCAGGTCCCCACACTCATCCCCCAGGAGAGGCCCCATTCCCACAGTGCGACCTGCACAGCTCTGGGCTGGGCTCCCACTGTCGGCTCCAATCCCGGCCCCCAGACCCTGCCTGAGCACCAGGGGGATGGCAGGGGGCCACAATCAACACCTGCAAGGGGATCCTGGGGCAGACAGTCATAGGCAGAAAGTACAGGAAGCAGCTCCTTCAGCCCAGCCCTGCCTGCACCCCACTGTCCTGCCCGGACAGACACAGCTCCCGGCAGAGCGCGGCTCAGCGCCCGGTCGGACCTGCCTGCGAGGGAAGCAGGTGCCCCGCGGCCTCTTTCCTGTTTCCTCCCGGCAGTGCAGGCAGAGCTCTCAGCAGCATCCCAGGGAAGGGGCCTCTGTGCAACAGGAGCTTCCCCAGCAGCTGGGATGTGTCCCCAGGGGCCGCGGGTGTCTGCAGGACTCCAGGCTGCCCCTCGGTCCAGGGGCACGTTGCAGCCAGGGGGGCAGAGCAAGTGGTTCCCCACTCCAGCACGTGTGGTGCCACTTGATCGTGGCACTGCTGTGTCCACAGTGGGTAAGGATGGCACAAACGTCAGCCACGTGTACCAGGGCTCTTGCAGCTCTGCTCCCTCCCTGGGACATGCTCCCTGCATTCCCATCCCTGGGCTGTCCCGTCCCATCCTGCCTCTTAGGGTCATGGAATGGTTTGCGTTGGAAGAGACTTTAAAGACCAACTACTAGACCAGGTTGCTCCAAGCCCCGTCCTGCCTGGCTTTGAACACTTCCAGGGATGAGACATCCAGAAATACTCTGGGCAACCTGTGCCAGTGCCTCTCCACCCTCACAGGGAAGAGTTTCTTCCTATCATCTAATTTAAATCTCCCCTTTTTAGTGTAAAACCCTTCCCTTTGCCCTGTAACAACCTACCCATGTAAAAGTCACTCTTCATCATTTTTACAAGCTCCCTCTAAGTGTGGAAAGGTCCTTGACAAGCCCCGTCCTGCAGCCCCGGCTCTCGTCGAGTGATCAGGGAGCGAACTGGTGCCAACAGGGGGTTGTGCCACTACCATTGTCAGGGAAAAGGACCCCCGGGCACCCA